GTGAGTAATTTCTTGAAAACTATGGAATGTCGTGTTCAGAACAACAAATAATTATAATTTTTCGAAACTGTTGATACGCCACGCATTATAATTACCTAAGACTTATACCTCGTACGTTATTCGATGGCTTTGCTGATCTCTTGTTGCGCGATTGCTTACTTAAAGCGAGTAATTTCTTGAAAACTATGGAATGTCGTGTTCAGAGCAACAAATAATTATAATGTTTCGAAACTGTTGATACGTCACGCATTATAATTACCTAAGACTTATATCTCGTATGTTATTCGATGGCTTTGATGCTCTCCTGTTGCGCGATTGCTTACTTAAAGCGAGTGATTTTTTGAAAACCATGGAGTGTCGTGTTCAGAACAACAAATGAGTAACTATAATTTTTCGAAACTGCTGATACGCCACGCATGCTAGCATGAAGAGGATCTTAGTGTACTGATAAATTTCTGTAGCGTAACTTGTTACGGCAATTTGATATAGATAATAAAATGTTGCTGCCGACAAGATTGGAAGGTGCGTGATTTCCAATCGATAACTTTTCTCTGTGTTGATCTTTTTTCGATCCAACTCTGTATCTAATAAAAAGCATTTTTTTTTTTTGCAAATTGAAGCAGAATCAATTGAATCATAAACCAACTTCTTAACTCTTTCATTGCAAGACAATTTTCTTTGTCCGAGTTGCGTCGAACTAATGAAAAATTGTAAATAGGCATACGTCGGAATGATTAACTTTTTTTTACTAAAAACTACTACTTTTAAGGAGTTATTATATAAGTAAGTAAGTAAGTATATATATACGGCTATAATAGAGCCAAGTACTAAATTGTTGTGGATGATTACAGTGGCCTGTTGCAAGGAAAGGACCGTTACAAAATGTTTTCGTGTTCAAAGGTTTCTCGGTTTTGCAATATGACACGTGAAATATTTCCCATTATCATGGACATCGAGCGAAACAAATTAACGTCCGTAACAAAATTGTATCGCACAACGATCGTATTTCCCTTTCCTCTTAACGCCATCCACGCCGATAAATTAACTGTTATCAGCCTCTGCTTCATACAATAATTGCTACGTAACGAGAGAGGATTTTGGAGACGAAACAGACTTCCCCGTATCACATAATGTTCTTGTTGCCCCCGTCATTCATTGCTAACCAAAATTGAAAATATGAAATGATGTCCGTGTTGTTCTGTAAAATGCATGCATATTTGTGCGATTTTCAATTGACGCTGTTAAGCGTGCACTGTTTATTTCGTAGAAATATATTTCATTCCGTGAGCCAGGAAATATCGTGGAATCTCTATAAAAATTTCTATATAGCTAAGATCGATTCACTGATTTCCAAGCAAGCAGATGTGCGAATGAAATCACACAGAGAACAGTACGATCAGTATCTTCGCACTGTCAGATACAAGAGCGGAACGTTGGTTGATGGGATTATTATCTTGCAAAGATGACCGGTGAATAGCAATTATCAGTTTAGATGAAGCGATACTCGCAATCTGACGTTTTTCATGCTGTATCCAAGTTGATACGATAGTAAAATTGCTATTTCAGCTTGCAAAGTTTCGAATACAATCTTAACAAATGATTTCAGTCGCTTTGATTCCCTCTGAAATAGATTTCTGTAATCTTATTTTCCCTAGTAATTGATTTATAAATAATACATTTTTAAGTAGCGAGTTTGTCTTCCAGCAGATTGCGTTTTCCAGGGATTAAATTCTAATTTTTTTAATTATTGATAATGTCTATAGCTTCCTAGAAATAAATGTTTTGCACGTTCTTTGTATACAAACATTCCACTAGCATGATGCACGTATCAGTGACGAGCGCGACGTTATCCAGGAGAATCTTAATTTCTTATCATAATCGCAACATTTCGAGATCGCCTATGTGTTTCGGTGTCAATGAAAAGAACCGCTTCCTTTCTATCTGAACACGTCGTTCTAGTATGTGTATCTATTTAACATCTGTCTCTTGCCGAAACGATGATTATCCGGTAACGGCTGATTATTGGTGGATCAAGCAGAACGAGATAACAGCTTCCACGCAATCGGAAATTTACGATCACGATGCTCTTCGCACTAGTTGATAATCTTTTTGCCGAGAAATTGTCGAGATACAGTTCGAGATAGCTGACACCAATTTCTAGGTGTCAACATTTATGATTAGGCTAGTGCCAGCAGGGACAAATGATTCTGGAAATTTCGGAGAGTCAATAAAAAATGGATCGTTCTTAAAACCACATTTAAAAAGAAGCTGAACGATGCAGTATTAAAAACTGTCTATTATTTTACTCATTATATGGCATACATTAACATGGATATTAAACGATACAACATAAAAGAAATTTATATTTATATATTATTATATATATATTATAAATATATATATTAAATTATATATATTATTATATATATTATATATATTAAACATTTATATTCTTTTCTCATTTGAAACAGTATTTGAGGAGCTATTTAATTGTATTTATAGAATATTTAAATAACGAAAGAAGCTATTGTTCTATTTAACAGTGCTTATTTTGTAACTCGATAAAATGTCAAATAAAATACTTGTGGATATTTTATGTTTCCGAAATTCCAAACAGTTTTCAATGAGCTATCTGTTCATTTTATTGAAAGCACGGTTAAACAAGATATTGTCTAGTGTCAGATTTTAGCGAATAAAATATCTTTGTTTCATTATTGGACGAGAAACGAACACTAAGGATGTTACGTAGCAGGTTTTGATCGTTAACGTTTCAGACACTGTGCAAAGTCTTTGATTGTTTCAGGCACGTTTCAAACGAGAATGTAGAACAGCTCCAAGACACCTGGAACATTGTTGACTTTGTGTCTATCGCGAGAAGTAAAATGCAGTTAAAGTTTACGGTGGTTAGAGGTCTCTAAATCCTCGAGAAACCACAGATCCGAATTCTATCATCTCGGCTACATTCCACGGTCTACAAACTTGTTACAGCGGTTCCAAGAGAGACATTTCTCTTGCGGGAAGTTCTTACGGACTGCGGAGAGCTTCATCAACTATGACAAAAGGTTCGTAGTGAGAACAGCTCGAAACGCAATACTGCTGGGTCGTGTTGTTCTATTTTTCAGAAGAATGATACACTATGCTGCAATAAATAAGAAAATTCTGGATAACGAATACGTTTCAATTTATCACTATTTTTATGGGTCTCCTTATCAAATTTTTATACGAATGATTTATTTTCTTGACAAATACGTGTTGACAGTAAAGACAGTGACGTGATAATTAGACTGCGGACTTTTATGCAAAATAAAAATAGCCTGAAACAATTGCAAGTTAGAGAAGCTGCGCGCACACATGTATTTCATTCCTCGATGATTATAATTAATTGAAAAGGATATAACACATTAGTTTTCAATTCTTTAAATGGTTTGGATTTGGTCTACTCGGTTTTGTTATAAATGCATCAAATCCACATTCCGGTAATAATGACCAGTGAAATGAAACAGTGTGAAGACAATAGTTTAATTCTTTTCTTTTTTAATTTTAATAAAACAAAGGATAATAAAATAGAAATTTATATTAGCAATACGAACAGCGTGACTAGCAAGAGAGCATTTGCTGTTTTGATAAATCAGAAATTGGGCTGATTAAACCGGATACCCGATGAATAAATAATTAGTTTCAATTAATATTTCGGGCAATGTCTACAAAGTACGATCGAAGCATTCTCTTTTCTGTTGCGTAGTTTACGACCTGCGTAGTTCTTTATTGATATTGATATTCAGCGCGATAACTTCATTAAGCCTTTTTATTGGACAGTAAACGACGCGGAGGCAGCGAGAAGAACAAACGCGATAGCGACCATCGTTAGAATACCTGATCGTTGTCAAAAGATATCGGTTACATTGCAAATTATACGTGACCACGTCTCGTCATATACTCTTGGGTCACTGCGGAAGGAATGGTACTACAGATTTCATCCAGATTTCACGAGATTAGGAAAACACTTGTGTACGTCACAATTATCGGAGATGAATCGGTAACGTGTCCGAAATTCGCGGCGATACAGTGAATGACATTCTTGATTTTTAACTATTGATGCGTTCACGTAACAGCGTTACAAGCGATGTTGATCAATCTTTTTCTTTCCGATATTGAAACAGATTAATACAATTTTCTTTGCTAGGATTAATAAAAAATATATTATTATCATCTATTTTCTGAAAAAATATGAGTTATTTTATTGTATCTTTCGCAACGGTAATCGAATATATTTTTATTTTCATAGATATTAAAAATAAAATGAACAAAATGAAACACAGGATGATATCCTCGAAAAAATATAAGCCGTATAGATTCACTTTGTTTACATTCGTGTAGCAAGAAATGAAATTTAACGAGTGTACGTTGAAGACTTATCATTAAATAGTAAAACAAATAGTGAAAATTGCAGTGAAGTTAAATAGCGATAAAACAATTAGTATTTTATTATCTTTTCAAGTCTTTTCGAGATAAAATCTGGTCTGCAGTGGCATTCGGTGACTATCTAGCACTTGATAAAAGAAAAATCGCTCGTGTTATCTTATAGATACATTTTATGATCTCATCGATACTGTTACAGTAACTGTCCGATAGCATTATCGAATAATAAATTTACCCTTCAAATCCTAAGTTGTTCATCTACACTTATTATATTTTTCTACGCAAATATCATCGATCCAAATAATTGTTTACCAACACATAGATATAGTTTATTATGTTCACTCGACTACTACAATAAATGACAGATGTGTATGTAAATGGACGATACATTTTGCACACTTTGTACGTGTAACAATAATAATGACAATAATAAATTTTGTAACAATAATTAACAAACATATTCAACTATTCCTAATTTTTCCAAAACCCGAAACAAGGAAATATTTTTCCTTTACTTGGAGCAAGAAATTGAAAAACCAATCAAGACGAACGCCCACATTTCAGCGCCATTTTTCAGCTTTCTAAAAAATGCCTAGATTGACGTCGGTCAGGAAGGAAAAGAGCTGTTGGAACAATACGGGGTTGACGTTTTTCAGCTCGGCATCCCTAACCAGGATCTGATAGTGCACGTTGCTGTATATCTTATTGTAGAACACCAAGTACCTTTGGCTTAACACGTTCCGTGCCACGTGTACCATCGATGGTACACGCTTGCATGTTTACTTAGTGAACTGAACAAATTGTTTACAAGAAATTTAGAACCGAAGAATCAATTTCCACCGCAAGAATGGGCGTTGATAAGTTTTTGTTACGTTGTTATGTGTACGAGAATTAATAATTGCACGTAATACGTCAAGTTTTAGTAAAATATCAAAGT